CTACATGTATGTCAACATAGCAATATAGCAAGAGACTATCTAATAATCTAATGTTATGAAAACAATTTGCAAAACTTTGCAAAATCTTCCTTCTCCTGACACCGCTTGATTTTGGAATAATTAATTTTTGTCTAGGTACATTGTACATACACAGGGGTCGAAATACTCTGGTGCACACTGCACTATGCACATAGATTATTAGCTAGTGCAAGTAAACTCAAAATACAATGTGCATGCTGTGCATGTAGAAATTGACACGAAATGTTTTCATTATATTCACTAAGCCTAAATAAAGTTCAACCAACATTGTAAGACAACTAAAAAATCAATCATCAATCGATAAACCGTAAATTTTATTTAAACTTTAAAAGTGGTGCATTTCACAACAAGTTAGTGCAGGTAAATTTCAAATTCAACATGCACACTGTGCATGCAGGGAAAAAATTCTATTTCAATCCCTGATACAAATGTACATGTAGTATAGTGAAGTTGTCTGTTTCCATATTGGAACATTGTTGTGACTTTACAAATGAAGTTGTAAATTTTCTGTACGAATCTTATTTGCGGTTACTTCAACCGTCTGGCGGAAGTAGATGAGGATTATTGGATCATTAATAAGGTCTCTCCCAGGGAAGCTGCAAATTTTGTTTGCACCAACTGTAAACATTAAAAATCAATATCTAAAATCATTTCCTCGGGTCTGTTTTTTTTTTCTTCAAAAAAGCCTCTTTATATACATGGTTTGAAAATAAGTCGCTCTAACAACCGCCATCGTCAACCGACCAACCCTACCTCCAACTAAAAATTGGTTCTATATGTAAACCAATATACCTGTTAGGTTCAGGATTGACAAATTAATAAATGTACTTTGACTAAAGATGTTTCTGGTACTTCATAGAAATAGGATTTGAAATCTAGCTCCTGTTTATCATGCAAATTTTGTAATGGACTACAAATTACAGTTTAGGAAACTAGTATAAGTGTACATCATTCAACTCCCTACAGACAGTCCCCCACTTGTACTAATGCTTAACTAAATACCATATCACTGGTTTCATTTGGCGTAACACAATATACAAGTTGATTAGAGTTTTAGCTGACAAGTCTTTATACAACAGAGAAAGCATTATGTCTTAAGTGGTAGGCTTAGACTGTCAATAGGCCATTAAATATGTTTTATGTCTTAGGTTAAGGGGCCTGAAGGCAACGCGCATACATGTACGGAATTCTTTAGTCCTGTAAAGCTTATTGCTGTCTGGTGAGTATGTGTATTGTACAAGGTTGTTTCTTTCATGTTTTACCAAAAGTTGATCAGAAAGGGTTGCTGTACTGAAGTGTAGAATGTTAGTTTTGTTTTCTGATTGATTGTGATAGTGGATTGGTATGGTAGGATTGCGATGTGCTTGGAATTCTGTTAACTTCTGTGCAGAGGAGGCCATGACATGTTTGTAAACAAGAGTTGTTGGGAGTTGTGTCTGTCTGTGAGTTGGGTTAACATTATCAGAAGCATGATTACTCAGTCAAAATATTTCCTCTTTTGCTAAGAGTCTACAAGTATGATGATTTTAAGTTAAATGTTACTCATGTTTTAGGCTTGTGCTACAGTGGCTGACCCTTTCATTTAGATCATTTTAATCACATGACATTTGAACTTGTTTGAACTAGAAAGTGACAGATTTGTGTCATCGAAACAGACACTGAAATATGCTGTGTCTTGTATATTTACATTTACAAACTACCATGTGCTTGATTTCACATGTCTAGGCTGGTTTTACTCATTATTCACTACTCTACACAAGTACTAATAAATCAAGTCAGTAATAAATACCAATTTTTAACACCCATCTGATATGCTGTTTTGCTAACTTGTATTTGTACATTTTTCCGCTTCTTGTCTATTCTTACAATTGTTGACGTTTTATTTAATGATGGACTCTGCTTACTATTGATAAATGTGAAATTGAATGGAATGAGTGTTTTAAACCATGCTTGGCAGCCATTTAAGGTTAATAAATGCTTACAATTGAGGTTTATAAGTCAAGAACTAGTTCAGATCCAATTTGCTAAAATGGCCTATTCTCGGTGGCGGACATCCGGCATTTTCACCGCCTGGCAACCATCACAATGAAAACAAAGACAGAAAACTTGGTACTTGGGATGGTTGTTAAGACTGAACAGTGTGACATGATTACCCTTGCATGTGCAACAGATATAAATTTGGTTGTTCAGGATTACTTGAAAGTTGATTTTGTTTTGTTTTCTGGAATTTAGCTATTTTCACCAGCTCTTCGACCAGCGTTCCGTAGCAGCTCACACTGAGCTAATAGATATACATGGTACAGTGATGTGCGTCTTAACAACGTGGAACGTTCTGTGACGTAGCTCCACAGAATAGACAAACCTTTTTTAATATGTAGTGCTATACAAAATGTATGCTTGTGTATAGGTGACCCACTTGTATGCACTATCCACAATGTGCACAATGGTAACAATAAGAGTAAATTACTTTTCTGCTACTAATTACATCTTAATCATTTTAGTCAAGATTCATGGGAGGTTGTCTCATTTGTCTTGTTTCACTCTACAAACGTAGAGGTGGCCATATTGGAAAAGTAGGCACATTTTGCTGGAGGCACTGTGACTTAAGGTGAAAAGTTCAAAGGTGAAGGTGCATGAATGCAGACTAATGTAAAAGTGACTAATCCAGTACATGCCATATCAGTCTTATTTGACTATGGGATGTTACTTGTGGTCACAATTGTAGATTCAAGGCTATGTGAATCTATACGTATCAGAAAATGATGCAAAACACGTATGCGTATTTTGATCATTTAAAATCAAATCGGAAGGTGAAACAATTTACATGATGTACTAAATGTCCTAAAAATTTTCCTATCTTAATTTCCCGCAATTCATATTTCATACAATGGAATTTCATTGTGATTAAGATCTCCACAGATGATTTTGTAGAGATCTTCTAGCCTGGATGAGTCGTGGCAATTTTATTAGTCCTCGTCCACTTATTAGTCCACTTATGGATTGACCTCTGTGTGTGTCCGTGTGTGCGTCTGACCCTGTAACTTAGACATGCCTAGACAGATTACATTCAAACTTCACACATACATCGTACATAATATTATACATACGCACTTCAATTTGTTACATGATCTGATTCAAGTTGGCTGAATGGCAGCCATTTTTATACTGCAAAAACAAAATTAAGCATTTCTGGCATTCTGCAACCGAATTTCGGCTGTTTACAGATTTGTTCAAACTTGGTAACAATGGGACATTATGGGACCTTGATGCATGTCATTTTGTTTTTCAGATCAGAATCAAAATGGCCAAATGGTGGCCATTTTGTTTTAATGAATGCCACTCGAGTGCCATATCTTTGACATGCTTTGACCGATTATGTTCAAATTTTATATATTTCATGTACCGGTAATAGATATACATATGTATTTGTTTGAAGATCGGATTCAAAATTTCTAAAAAATCATCACAAATCAAGCATCGTTTATTGTTTTACTGTACATATATATGCTGATTCCTGATTTTATAGAATCTCTCGCATTGATGCATTAATTTTAAAAGTTTTATTCTTGTAGTAATGCTAAAACAGAAACAAGCAGTTGCCTTGAACTAAAAATTTTAGTCCATGTCTTTAGAATTACTCTTCAACTAAATAATTTGACTTAAGTGTTGTTGTAATCATTCATAGATGGTGATGTAAAAGTGCTCTAGACAACGCTTCATTGTTGTGATATTCAACAACATAATACTCAGATTGTTATGCCCAATTTCAAGTGTTTGACAACCATACTATATGTATGTGTAAAGTGTCTGAAACTTGACTTGGAGTGTTACCAGAGGAGGACATCAGATTTTTTGTGCTTTCTGTCAAGATAAGGGAATAGTATAAAAGGTCACATGTACGTGTACATGCACAACAAAGCAGTTATTAATATTAAACCCTGATTCAAATATTATTCATTTGTTAATGTGTGTACCGTAATATTATGAGTTATGTTACCAGTACTACACTTGAAACACACACCAAACAATGTGTATACTTTATACTAATTCATCCAATTTATTTTCATATTAACTACAAAATAACTGTTAGTTGGTTAACTTCTAGTACAATGTAGATGCGTTAATTTCTCATTCAAATCAATGTCTAATTCATTACAGTTTCTAGGGGGTTTATATTTGTTTCTCGAGGGGGGGGGGCACAAACAAGACACATGATTTTTCACCAGACAGATATAACATGTACTGGTATGTAAAGGTGACACCTTAGATCATGAGATTGAATAGCTGCTTGTCTCCAAGGAGTGCATACAATAGAACACAGTCTGAAGATATGCCACTCTCCTTTAATGAAAATAAAATGTGTGTACCCTGGTAAATTATAAGGAATTTGCAAACTGAAGTTTAACTGCAGAAAACTTTTTAAACTGACTTTCCAAAGTTTTGTGACTATTAACATGTAACTTTATAAAAACATTTTCTTGAACAAGTTTCTTGATTTGGTCAAATCTGGGAAAAAAGATTAATCACTTATTTCTTTAAATATAGGGATTTTATTTTTATTTCTCCCCATGCCATTATAAAGCTCAGTAATTTGAAAGCATGGCTGGTTGCCCCTAAATTTATTTGGTGATCTAGAGTTCAAATGCTTTGGCTATACCCCAACAAATGGGTTGACCCTTACCCTGGGTCACTGGGTGAGTGTGCTAAATGCTCAGTGGGGAAGCCAAAACACTACCCAAGATTCATTCACTCACTGAAATTGCCATTATGTGGAAAGCCCTGTCATATAGTCATGGAATGTAATTCTGTGACAAAACATGCTGTTTGTACCATCATCGCTTACAGTTGCCAACTGTCGCTTTGCACAAAATATGTTCAGATATGTGGAATTTCAGACATTTACATGTATGCAAAGTAGCTATTCAAGACATATGTCCTTTTGATTATTTTCAGATGCGAGTAGGAGATGTTATAGTAGAAGTAAATGGAGAACCAGTAGAAAACAAAACAACCAAACAAGGTAATGTACATATACTGTAAAGGGGATAATTATTCACTGGGTTTTAATTTCGCTTTTTTGACTGACTGGAAAATGCGCTAAATTAAAACCCAGTGAATATGTAAAATTTAGCATAGAACACATCTAAATGATAAAACCATGAATTTAAAACCCACTAAATATGCCTGAAATGCTAAATCAGTGAAATTTAAACCCAGTGAAAATTAGTCCTTTTACAGTAATTTTAGTGCTGACAGATTAATAAAGTTAATCTTTTAATGACCTTTGAACCGTTTTTTTGTAGTTCTGAAAATTCAGAACTGTTCGTAAATAATGTTTTACTCGCCCCATCATGGAACCCATTATGTTTTTCTTGTTTTTGATTTGAAATTTTTTGTTGGGTCAACACATCATTGATATGTCTTAATTGGTAAATACTACAAAGAATATGTTGAAATTATTGATGACAATGATACTTTAAAAATTCCAAGTTTTTATAAAAAGGCAAATCCAGCTGATAGACAGTTTGGAAGTTAAGTTATGGTTTGCACGGACTATACTGTATCTTCGCAAATGTAACTGTTTGAATGTTGTATTTTTCTCGCCAAAGTTTTTATGCAGAATTTTGCACATGTTTTTATGGACAATTTCTTTGATATTTTTGGCCAACTAGACACAGCTTCCCACTGGCTACACGTCTTGGTCAAAATTATTGAAAAAATATGGTAAAAATTGTGTTTAATTAGTGAAGGGTGACAAAATGTAGCATTGGCATGCAAAAGGTTAAATTAAACACTGAAGAAAATGAGATGGTAGTTTGCCTTGTACAGACATCTTTCACAATACACAGACCATTTTGGACCAAAAATATATATACCGGTAGCAACAATTGTAAAAACTTTTCAACCACTTTTAAAAGTACAAATTACATTGGGCCATTCCAGTTTATATCTGCAACACCATACAGGGTATAATTTCCATTTATTATTTATTTGGAAATCCTACTCTGTATGGTGGCACAATGGAACTCATCAACACCATAAGTAGGAACTATAGTTTTGGATTTCCATTACTGTATGGTGAATGGTGATTTGGAAATAAAACTTTGTATGACTTATACACCCATGGAAATTATACCCTGTATGAAGTAAACACACAAGCTCATCAACAGGGGGGGTGCAGATATAAACTGGAATGGCCTATTAAAATGTTTACTTTTGAGTGGTCAAATTTCCAGAGTAAAAAGCAGTGATTACAAAAACGAGTGAAATTGAAGTTATATGAAGTTACAAATATTTCATAGCAAATTAAAAAATAAATTTGTTTGTATTGAACTATGGCTGAATAATAGACAATGCACCTAGAACCTTGAAAAGTAAGTTAATTTTTGTGCATGTCTACGATCATTTACTGTTCTCTAATAGCAGCCGTAAAAAGACTAACCAGATACCTGTATAATTCCTATAATGCGTTTAGTGCTTTATTCTATTCTTGGTATGCATTGTACCCTTACATTAAGTATCCCCCCCTGCTGTGTTGGACACACAGACACGCCATGTGGCACACTGATGATCCACACAGACACATACACTAATATATTTATAACTGACAGTGTAACACATGGTCTAGCAGAGCGTTGATTTTATGTGCATTTGTAACTGATGCAACGTTGCAATTTGTAAAAACTAACCCAGGATTGTAATTCCATTTTATCTATTCTAGTTGTTCAGCTTTTGCTGCGATCTCCCAACACATTACAACTCATGGTGATTGAAGGTAAGTGAGAAAAAATGGGATTTTTTATTTTCATTCTGTGTACGTACCCAAATATTGTTTAATTTTCTGTTTGAATTAATATTTTACTGGAGTCAGCAAATTTATGGTGAAACTGCTGTTTTTTATTTCATGAAAGACGTGTTGGGGAGAATTGTTTAATTTTGTAAATTTGGTTCAATTTGGGTTTTATGAATGGCTACAAGTTCTACAATTGCATACATTACTGTCTACAAAATACTGGTTTCGTTCCTACTTATTCTGATATTCATCACATCAAAAATTGGTTAATATAAGTTATGTGCCATACACCAGGATTATAATAATAATGATTTATTGAATCCTTAGAAATAGTTTCCATTGGTTGATAGCAAAAAATGTTATTAATAAAATGTATTATATAAACAAAAAAAAAGGAATTGCAGCTGAATAATAAATAATCCATTTTAAAATTTAAATTAAAGGAAATACATATGGGAAATTATTATTTTCTGTTCTTTAAAACATTGTCTTTTTAGCAATATGCTAGTTTTCGAGGTATCTTTATCTTTCAAATAATTTAGCTACCTTTTTTATTCTCGAATTCTAGATTGAACGGTCAATTCTGTAAGAGTAGTCCTTCAAATTCAAGTTCTACTAACTTGTGTCATGAACCACATTTGGTAAAATGACATGTACATGCATTTCAAGTGTTTTACAGCAAAAAATAATTTAATAATCAGACAATAGAAGATCAAGAATCAATCAACCTGTGTCATATGCTAATAATTCTGCATTGTTTATTTCACCCTGCCACTATTCTATATACATCTGTACATCATTACAGGTGTTGTCACGGCCCTTTTTGTGTTGTAACTAACTTGATGAAAGTGTAGAAAGGTCACTTGAGTGTAATAATTAATGAATATTATCCCGTTAAATTTTAGTTTCATTTCAAAACATAAAAATAGCTTCTGTGTATTTTTACTGGTATATAAAATTACATTTGGATTATTTTTGGAATATTTATTTTAATGTTGGGCAGCTTAGTCTTTTCCACGAAACCAAACCCTAACCCTAACTCACATTTTTTCAATGGCCTAATAATATCTTATAAAAATTCACACTGTGAAACAGGAAATGAGTAGCGCCATCAGTGTTCAACAATTCCAAAATGGCTGTCATGTCAGCACAAATGAATCAAGCTGCAAAGTAGGCAAAAAGAGGTGGAAACTGAATATTCTCGACAAATTTATTTCTGTGACGTGGCGATATTAGAAGTCGTTCAAAATTTAAAGTTAGGGTTTCATTCCGTTTCGTGAAAAACACTAAGCCATGTTGGACTCATGGAATTGGGGTTCATAATTAGTTTCAAAAAGTCAAAGGGAATAATTTAGCAAAATTACAGGGGATTCCTGAATCAAAAATGTCGCTCAAAATTGTTGACACAATGAGTGGAATAAAATGTTTTCTCTCAGATTTTAGAAGATGTATACCATATATGCCTCCAAATATAGAAGCACACATGAACAGAAATTGCTTTATCATTAAAAATATGGCCTTTGACAAAACTCTTCAATATCATGTGCTACTAATAAAGTAAATACAGTAGTTAAACAGCATGGAAGCGACATGATCTTTTCAGCTTTGCTGTCGAGCAGAGCTTATCATGTATGTGATTGTTTGTCGTCTGTGTAAACTTTTTACTTTTTCAACTTCTTCCTGAAACTCTTCTTGATATTTGGTGCATATGTACCTTGGGCAGAGCTCTCTTAGATTTGTTCATTTCGTGATGATATCTTTAATTCTTTTGATAATTTTTTTGATAATTTTTGGTAAAAAGTGATTTTCTCGACTTCTGATTGTGTTGATATTATATATATAGGTACTACATGTGGACCTCTCTCAGATTTGTTCATTTTGTGATGATATCTTCTGTTCTTTAATGTGAAATGTGCATTGCTAAAAGCAGAGCTATCTCAGCTGTGAAGCTGCTTGTTTATTTATCTTGCTATGTCTCTAATGCATTATGTTTATTGTATCTTTAGATCCAATTGTCAGAGCCAAGGTTGAGGATTTTCTCGGTGGCCAAGATGCTGTAGAGACAATACAAGCATCGTTGTCAAAAGAGGACTTGTTAAATGAAAAATCAAAAGTTCGAAACTCTCCCAAAACACACCGAACTGAAACATCATTAAGGCAGAATGGACCTTCTGTTGCTGTCTCTCCAGAAAGTGACAAGCTGGAAATTAAAACAAAATATAATAAGCACATGTCAATAATAAGGTCGAGTAGTTCTGATTCTAATTTGTCGGACTCGCCCGCAAGAACGTTAACCACAACTGTCATGATACACAGGGAGGACTATTCATCGAAATCGACATCACCGTCGTCTTCGAAACCGACATCACCGTCGTCTTCGAAACCGACATCACCGTCATCGTCAAAACCAACATCACCGTTGTCATCAAAACCGACATCACCGTTGTCATCGAAACCGACATCACCATTGTCATCGAAACCAACATCACCGCTGTCATCGAAACCAACATCACCGTTGTCATCAAAATCAACATCACCGTTGTCATCGAAACCAACATCACCATTGACATCGAAACCAACTTCACCAACAGTAATGAGACATGAGGAGAGTTTAGAATCCAGTCAGGACAGTGTTTGGCAGCGTCAAGATGTTACTGGAGGAACTGGAAGCCAATCATCAGAAACAGAGTGTTCTACAGATCAAGACAGTCAATTGACAGATAATACTGTAATATTAGTGAATGGAGTGGAACATGTTAGCGATAACAGTAGTACAGAGCATGTGAACCGAACAAGAGAAAGAAGTCCTGTAGACTCGTTAAGAGATCAACCAGATTCATACGATGCGGATGAAGCCGACTGTGCGGTTGTTAATGTGGACTCAGTGCATGTCGATTTTCAAGATGAGAGTGTTGATGGAAATATTTGTCAAAAATTTAATGGGAATCTCTTTCCGGAAAATCAAGATTTTAGTACGGCGAGTAGTGATTCAGGGAGTATGGACAGTCTCACCGAATCTGAGGTTTCCTTGGAAACAGAACTTATGGAGCATTACAGTGATTTTAAGTCACAAGGGGAGGCATGTGCTGGTGGGGGAACATTAGATTTACCATCAGCTCAAAGATTAGCCAAACGATTGTTTAATTTGGACGGTTTTAAGAAGTCTGATGTTGCAAGGCATCTTGGGAAAAAGTAAGTACACACCAAGTTTTGTTTATACTGTTGATGAAACATTGTCAGAAACTGTAAACTTTGTGCTTATAATACTAATCACTTTAAATTGTTGTACAAAGTACCATTTTAGCCAGTTTAGCCTTTTCACCACCAGAAGAATGAGACAAAAATAGTCAATTTTCTGAGTAAAATATGAAAATTGACTCAAATTTTGTCGGCTGGCTCCAAAATTAAGGTTCATTCCTAGAATTGTTGAAAAATATAAGAAAAAAGTGCAGAAAAATTTGAGTGATAAAGTCTAGTGGTGAAAAGGTTAAATGGTGAACTATTTTTAAAATGTCTGCATTTATGACATAATCATCACATGGTTATAGATTACAGGGTATTTAAAACCTGTCATCCCAAATAGAAGTATATAAAAATAAGACAATATAAATTGACACTTCCTAATTTTTATTGGAGGATTTGTCAACAATCACACTATGTATGGCTTCTGTTTTTTGTGATAAATCACTAGGTGGATACGGTTTACTGGATGCATACATTTAGTGTTTTACTTCAAACTCTGTATTTTTATTTTAAGTTAACCTTGTGAGGGCGCTCTAACACAATGTCATACTATAACATGCTTAGATTTGTTAATGCAGTAATGTGGCAACATGTCTGAATTATGTTTGCTGTTTACAAATTGACTGGCAATTCTCAGTATTTTGAATATGAATGCATGTGACTCGAATGTTTTGACAAATCAACCATTATTGCATGTGTTTGAAAGTGTTAGTAAATAAATGCTAAACATTGAACTAATATCTTGTATTAAAGCGAGAGGGTCGTCACCTGCGCACGCACGGGAATTGAGTCCCAAGCGACGATAACAACACAAGCTAAAAACGCAAAGGCTCATGGGTAGACGCTTGTTTGTAAACATTGACACGCTATGGCCATCTGACGCATGTGCAGGTGACGACTCCCTCGCTTTAAATAATCTAAATACCAAAAAATGATAAAAAACTTTAAACTGTATTACATTATGAGTGATTTTTCAGTTTTCTCTAAAACGAGAAATAACATTTCTTTCTTTTTTTGACTAATAAGAATTGGGAAATGATTGGCACATGTTTGAGCCTAATCATTTTTTTATTTGTCCTAATTTTTTTGCTTGTGACATCACTTAAAGATCCAATACGTCTAATTTGAATTTTTGTTCGTATCCCGTTTCATGCTTTTTGATTACACAGGGTTGTTTGATCATTTCGTTGCATTGCAGTTTTTTTTGTATTTTTTGATCACTTACTTTTCTATATGCTTACTATGCAAAAGTCTTTCAAATGAAATTTATTTTTTACAATCATCACAAACTTCATGTGAATATTAAAGGGCTGTAGTTGTCGTGCAGTGTATGCTCATATTTCATGTAAACAATGTTTTTTACACACGTTGTGTACATCTATGAGTCCAATATTGAACCGGACATGGCACGACAACCGTCACTCTTTAAAATCCTGTTGTGTACTAAATGTAAGTATTTTAGATTTATCCAAGTTTTATCTTTTTTGAAGAAAACATTTCAAGATCTGAAATTAGTCGAAGGCCAAGAAACACAGACTATCAATTCTTTTTTTGGGCTACCATTTTTCAAATGTAGTCGCCCAAATAGACTACTAGAAATATATAAAAAAAATTGAAATGGATTTATATTAACTAGTTTGTGCTCAAATTTATGGGTGTCCTTAAACAAATTGAGGAATGTGACATTTATTTATGCTCATATTTGCATGGCTTTAAGTAACTACTAAACTTGAGTGTTTACCCAATATTAACATGGACTACCAGATTTTAAAACTGGTAGCTCCTCGGGCTTTGAAGAAATTTAGTTAATTTTAGAGCCCTGCATTCAATATCATTAATTTCTCTGATTACACGCTTCTTTCAACAGAAATGACTTCAGTCAGCTCGTTGCAGAGGAGTATTTACAATTTTTTGATTTCGCTGGGGAAACGTTGGATGAGGCCCTTAGGAAGTTTCTTCAGGCTTTCTGTTTGACTGGAGAAACACAAGAACGGGAAAGAGTTTTGACCCATTTTTCACAGCGTTACCATAGGAACAATCCTGAGTGGTTTTCCTCAGCGGATGCTGTAAATACTTTGGTGTGTTCACTGATTTTATTGAATACAGACCTTCATGGACAGGTAAGTGTTCGTTTCCTTGGTGATACTTTAATGTACTTATTGTCTGGCTGGTTCCCACATATTTCAAAGATTGTGTTTATTTGCTATGTCCATGAAACATATACAATACAGTTTGCTGCACGTCTTGGGTCAGTGTTAAATTAGATGTGGTTCTCCCAAAAACATTTTCTTGAATAACTTGTGACCACTTAGCATGGCAGTTTTTGGCCACAATTGCATAAACAGCTGTTTCTATGATCATTACATATTATATGACTACAGCAAAACCAAAACCTAATGTAATTGTATGGAAACATTTTCTTGTATTGTCCCCAAGCAACATCCTCATATTTTCAGGTGGTTTTTAATGATTTTGCAGAATTCATCATTTACCATCTCTGACTGTATTCATATAAACTATGAGATGTCATCAGGATATTAGTCACTCAAATTCTTTATTAAATTTTTCTATTTTTCAGAACATAGGGAAGAAAATGTCACTGTCAGCTTTTATCACAAACCTAGAGGGTCTCAACGATGGTGGCAATTATCCCAGAGATTATCTCAAAATCCTGTACCACTCAATTAAATCTAATCCCATAGAATGGGCTGTTGATCCAGATATTGAACGTCAACATAATGATTCAAATGCTTCAACTTCATCACCTGGAAATGGAACAATCCCACATGCACCGACTATGAGTTCAAATCCATTTGTAGAGGTGAGTTTTTGCCGACACACTTTGAAATTATGTTTGCCAACTAACGTATACATATATGTATACAATTTTGCAGCTCAGAACTTCCTGCCCATAGCTTTGATGATGTGTTGTAAAATAACAGATTGCGTTTGTCAATGCATGTGCCTGTCATGTAAAATGAATAAGATCACAGTTTCTCTGAAGATTTCTTTCTACAATTATGATGTTGCTGGTTATGACAGCCTAGTATACCTTTCATGGAATCTTTCTTGATTTTTAACTTATTTACCACCAAGACTTCCTTGCCAAAATTTGTCTGTACTTTTTTTTTTTTTTAATATTTCTGGAAATGAATCCTAATTTTGGAGCTAACAGACAAAATTTGAGTCAATTTTTAGTTTTTACCCAAATTTTTTTTTCTATATTTGCCCTAATCTTCGGGATGAAAGTGCAGACTTTAAACATGACTATTTTGTGAATTTGCAGTGAAGGATTAATGCAAATTTATTGTATACAGGTACAGCATGATCCAAATGCCAAGGTTTATATGAAAGGATATATCATGAGAAAGTCAATCAAAGAAGCCAATGGCAAGAAAAGTAAGTAAATGCAATCACCATGGTAACATGTCTTTAGCTTTGCTGCGTGCAAGCGATATATTATGTCACTATCCAGGGTTAGGGATGAATTCTTTGAGTTTTTTCACTTTCTCTCTCTCTGTCTTTTCTTCCCAATCAGAGTACATATTATCATTCTTAACATGTACTTTTGCTCAATTTCAAAATTGACTAATTTTATGTTTTCTTCATCTTTTCTTTCTACTTATTTCCCGCTTTACTTTTAGCAGGTAAAAGTAGTTCTCTGTCCTGTCTATGCTCATTGCTCTTCTCGTATAATGTGTTGCATGGTATTTTCACTGTTTCTAATAGTTGTTTTCTGTACTATCCTTTTGTTCTCACTGCCTCACTTTCCTGATCTCGCAATCACGTCATCTTTTCTGTGTCCTCTAATTTCACTATTCAGTCTTCTTCTCAGTTATTTGTAGTCACTGTCCAATCACCTTCATTTCTAACAATCTTTTCTCTTTCTTGCAGTCTTTGTCCAGTCATCTTCTCTGTCCTGTTCTCCTTTCCAATCATCTTCTTTGTCTCATCTTTGTCATCTCTTCACTATTCAATCATATTTCCTGTTTTTCCTCACTATTGACTAATTTTCTGTGTCTCTTGTATTCAATATCCAATCATCTTCTCTTTCTTGTTATCACTAATCATATTCTTCTTCTCTCATCTCTCTTCTCTCATTATTTTCCTCTTCTATTGACTGATTGTTATGTGATAATATTGTGGTTGGGTTGTTGTGTGTTTGAATGTTTAGTTAAACTTCTTAAACTTTTTTTGTGTTTTTGGACCCTTGTGTGACATATTTGATGGTAAAACCGGTTACATTGCGATAAATTGATGGATGTCTTTCAAGAGTAGTATAACTGTGTTTTAAACATTCAAATTGCAATGATTTTCAGAGTGTCTGATCGTTGCAGCTTTTCATTTGACTTTATGCTTCAATTTCATTCGCTGATGCTTTTCCAACAGGTGTTGTATAGGTCTTGTGCTTGACCACAAAAAGGTCACACATCCTGGTACTTTTTGAAACACTGAGTTTCTAACCCCCCAGCCAACAACAGAATGCAGGCAGATGCCGCTGAAATGTACATATATGTATATAGGATTATAAATTATTGCTGTTATAGGGTGAAAGTTCCAGGATGTGTGACCTTTAGAGGTCAAAAAGTACCAGGATGTGTGACTTTAGGGGTAATCATGCCTAAATCAATTGCTGCAGTAATTCTGACTTCTCATGACATCAAATATGTGACATAACTGTCCAAGACATGTAGCCCAAGACATAAAATTTATGGTGACAGTATCGCCGATATATTGTATTGTAAACAATGATAATTTAAAGTGAATAGATATATTGTATGTACGATTAATGTGATAAGGGTCATTTTTTATGTGTAAAAAAACATAATTATGATTATGAATTTGTGTTCATATCAGCTCCAAGAGGAAAACGTGGATGGAGAATGTATTTTGCAACATTACGAGGACTCATACTTTATTTTCATAAGGTATGTTTAACACTCTAATCTACCTGACATGATTGATGTCAAATTTTACACTTATTAACATGTCAATCACCACACATTGTTATTGACAGCATTCAGCTCTAGTAAACCTGCCATAGAGGGCAGTGTTTGCATTTCATACATAACATTGATGGCAGATAACTATACAAAATTTTTCCCTGATCAAAAGCTAAATATGTTAAGAATTTCAAATATTGAATGATAGTTTAATTTCTTTACAGTCTGAGATTGCTTGTCAACACAGGTTTGAATCGATGTGTGACATGCTTAGTATACATCACTCGTTATCCACCAGAGCCACAGATTATACAAAAAAACAATTTGTATTACGGTTAAGATTAGCCGATTGGAGTGAATACCTCTTGCAATGTAGGTAAGTTAAAATCGACTGAAACCAGGCATGTTTGGCTAATTTCTGTGTTCCCTTTTGTTGGAAAAGTAAATAACTATGTACTGTTTTGAACATACAGCGACACTGGTGAACTACAGGACTGGATGCAAGCATTCAATCTAGCAGCTGCTACACTGTCAGCACCGCCATTACCGGCACCAATCGGATCTCAGAGAAGATTTTGTAGGCCGTTACTGCCATCATCACAAACTAGATATTCTAAGGTACAAAATTGGCTTTACTTGTTTACTTATTTATGTTTTTATTTATGTATTTACTCAACCATTACTCAACCAGTAACCAACATGCGCACTGAATGCTCATGCATTCACTTTGCACTTCTAATTACTCACAAACTCACTACCATTTACTCACTCACACATTTCTATTCTTTCTCTCACATACTGTGCTCATTATGTAAAACAAGACATATTCCCAGAGACAGTTTTAACTCCAGTTCATACTGTTTACATATTTTCTTCAGCAAGAACAACTATCACGACATGAGAGTCAAGTACAGGCATTGGAAGCGGAGTTAGAAGACCATCAAATGCATCCACCAGATAAAGGTTCCAGGATGATATTAATACAATACTGGAGAGAAAAATTAGAGTATTTACAGTATGAGGTAAGCCCTGAGACATCACTATAGTTGTTATTGTATGGTTGGTAAGCAAAAAAAAGGATTGAATAAGGGTATGCTCTTCTAGAAATTTGTTATTATGGCAGGTTGCCAAAATCAGTGACATTAGATGACTAAAGTGACATTAGATGACCTCATAGTGATGTTTGATGACCTCATAGCGACATTTGATGACCTCCTAACGACATTTGATGACCTTATAGCGACATTTGATGATCTTATAGCGACATTTGATGACATCATAGTGACATGTGATGATCTCATATCAACATTTGATGACCTGATAGTGATGTTTGATGACCTCATATCAACATTTTATGACCTCATAAACTAGTTTTGATTGCTCTTGGTGTTATGCTACTAAATATGTGCATAGGTTCCACAATTCTATATTGGGTTAATTGTATTTATAAAACATGTTAATGTTGTTTTACACAGTCTTATTTAAAAAATATCTTGACTGATATATACCTTGACTTGTCTTCATTTCTGTTCTATGTCCTCTTTTGTCATCATTGAGTATGAAACGCTTATACATGTATAACATGTCATACTGTATACTGTATATCAAAGTAAATAAACCCCAGTGATTTGAAGCATAGCATTCTTTTCCCTGATTAACATATTTGCACACAGGTAGCCCAGCAACAAGGGAACTCAAAACTGGTCTATTACAAAATCATGTTTGAGAAACATCCATACTGAGCTAGACGGTTGTAATCACTCATGCTGAGCTACGTGGTTGTAGTCACTCATG